GCTGAGCCAGAGGAGGGGACAGATGGTTAGATAATGTTTTCTTGCTAGGTACAGTGTCAGTGAATAAAGATTTTGATCATCAGAAAGACCAAGGATCCATATTTCTGACTCTTTTGCAGAATAATTAATAAATGTTATGGGAATCACCTAGTATCATCCGTACTGGGAGGGTTGATTTTATGTGTCGACCAGACCAGTTTAAGGATGCAGACAACTGGTCAGACATTATTTCTGGGTGTGCCCATGAGGGTGTTTCCAGAAGAGGTGAGCGTTTGAATCAGCGGACTGGGTAAGAAGGCCCGCCCTCACCCATGTGTTTGGGCACCATGCAATCTGTTGAGGGCCCAGATAGAACTGAAAGGCAGAAGGGAAAATTCTCTCTTTCTCTCCTTGGGCTGGGTTGCCTCTTTTCTCCTGCCTGCGGATGCCAGCACTCCTGGTTCTCAGACCTGCAGACTCAGACTTGAACCTACACTGTTGGCTTTCTTGATTCTCAGGCCTTCAGGTTTGGGCTGCATCACACCACTGGCTTTCCTGGGCTCCAGGGTGCCGAGGGCAGATCGTGGGATCTCTCAGCATCCACAATCCCATGAGCCAATTCCCATAATCAATCTCGTTTTATCTGTATCTATATATAGATATCTCTTTCTCTATCTTATTATTCTTTTTCTCTGGAGAATGCTAATACAGAGTTCTTGAAAAGACTCTGAAAACAGCCACATCACCACCAAGGGATCACGGAGCCTCCTGGGTCACAAGAGGCCTGAGAGGCATGGCGGACGTGCCTGAGTTTCCTCCACAGGGTTCTTGTTAGGAGGTGGCCCAACCCGTGCTTGGCCACATTCAGAAAAAGGAAATGCATCCTCCCAAAGGAAGGCCCACTCCACTGCTGGAGAATTTAGGCTGCTGAAAGCTTCTTGCTTATATGATTTTGCCCAATTCCTTTTCTGAGTCTTTCCCTTTTGTTCTAGTCCCTTCTCTTAGAGGAACATGGAGCAATAACAATGATCTTACTGAGGCCAATTCTCTAGTAGGCTCCAGGCAGCCAAAGTGATAAAGGATGTGTATCTTCATCCTTCACAAGGTGATAGCTGAGAGGAGCGTGGGAGAAAATCACAAGCTCCCCAAGGTTAGGGTCACATCTATTCATCTGTATTTTAGTGATTAGTAGAGCACCTGGCAAAAAGTAGCTCTTCAGATAGTTTTGAGAGGCCAGGGAAATACAAGAACTACATTACCCTTCTCTGGTTACTCTTCTGTCCTGTTGTCAAACTCGGCCTCACCAATGAAAACGCGCCTCACTTTGGTGGCAACTCCAGCTAAGCTCCTGCTTCCTACCCTCGCAGCTGACTTACAGCATCAAGCCCCATGGGGATGAGTGCTCCATCCTGACTGCCACGTCAACACTGCGTCTGCACAGTGTCTGTGAGGCTCCATCCACCATGACCCGATGCTGGCCATTCTGGCCTGGGCAGAGCTCCGAGGAGCGTGTGAGTGCTTGAACACGTGTACAATGCAACCCCCACCACAGAGTCTGTGCTTCTTGGATGCTCACTCAACGAGGTGAAAGGCACGGGGAAGTGGTTTCTGCTCTGTGTGAACTCAGTCTGGCCTGGCAGATAACAAAGACATGCAACGAACTGCAAGGCAACTGTGGTAAGTGACATAGAAGCTGCCAGTTGGCCCTGGAGTTGAGAGGGAGAGTGATGTGCAGTGTCAGCGTGCTGTCCAAGGAGTTCTTGGCATGGCTTGAGGCACTTCACACCTGGTCAGACCACTGGAACATCCCTCGTTAGGCACCATGTGTCAGAAGCCTTGTTAGTGTGTCAAGGAATGCTAAGGTTTCCTGGAGGATTCATCCATTCACAGCTGCTAACAGGAAGCCGACCATGTGCTAGATGGGGCTGCCGCAGTGCCCTGGGCAATCCAGGTCCCTGATGTCTAATTGGGTGGGATGAAATATATAAATATAAAATAAATGAACATATAGGGTGTGCAAGACGGGGCAGGCGGGGAAGAGCTCATGTAGCAGGGACATCCGAGCGAGACTGGCTGGCGGCAAAGGGATGACCACGGTCTTAGGTCAGGTGAGCAGGAGTGACAGGCGGACTCCATGTGGGATGCCAGCCAGGGAAGGGGCACTAGGAGAAGTCGGGGAGCACCAGGGACCAGGCCCTCCACCTTTGTGACCTTGTCCTGCTATTTAAGGAGTCCGATGCATTCTGCGTTGGCGATCACCTAGTTAGGGCGACCAGAGTGAGCAAATAAAACCAAGATGCCCAGATAAATTTGAATTTTTGATAAACAGTAAATTTTTCAGTTGTGCTACACAAAGGAAAATATTAAAATTCTCTGCTGTGGAAGCAAATATAAAACTAGCTAGAAGAGGCAAGGTGTGGTGACTCATGCTTGTAATCCCAACATTTGGGAGGTTGAGGTGGGAGGATTGTTTGAGTACAGATGTTTGAGAGCAGCCTGGGCAACATAGTGAGACCCCATATCTAAAAAAAAAAAAAATTAGCTGGTGTGGTGGCATGCTCCTGTAGTCCCAGCTACTCAGGAGGCTGAGTCAGGAGGATTGTTTGAGCCCAGGAGGTAGAGGCTGCAGTGAGCTGTGATCATGCCACTGCACTCTAGCCTACGTGGCAAAGTGAGACCCTGTCTCAAAACAAACAAACAAAACAAAACAAAAATACAAAAAACAAAAGAAAGAGAAAGAAAACAGGATGTAAGAAAGAAGAGAGAGAGAAGTCACAGTTACCATTGTTAGTGGGAGCTGACTAGGTAGAAAACTCCAGGTTGGCTAACCTCCCCTCAGCTTTGCCAAGAGACCAGTCTATGCCATGGCCAGTGATGTATCCAGCCCCAAGGTGCAGACAGGTGATTGGGCTGGGGAGAGTGTGGATGACCAAGTCTGGTTCTTCTTCCCTTCAGGACCCACTACAGAAATGAACAGTGGGGGACTCCAGTCCTCACCCTGGAGCCAAGATGGCAAGGTGACAGCATGTCATAACAGCTGTTCAGAGCTGGGACCCAGGGATCAAGTTGAGCTGCACACCAACTGGGGTGCTGTGGGCAAGCAATCCCTTAGTATACCTAAGGCAGATAAGAGAAGGAGTTAACCACTAAAGATGTTGTGAGGATTAAATTAGTTAATGTAGGGAAAGGTGTTAGTTAAATTTCTGGCCCACAGTATCTATTTTATTCGAATTCCTAAGAAAATATAGTATCTGTGTGTCTACTTCGTCGACCAGACTGTATTGCAGATGGCTTAAGACCAGGCAGCAAATTTGAGGTGGAGCCATGGTTATCAGAATGGCTGCCCAGACCACAAAGCTGATTTATCTCAATCATAACAGCAGCAGATTCCTGTTATTGTAATGAATCACAGCATGTATGCGCACAGACGCATGCACCGAGGTTCAGAGGGCCGGGTTGTGTGGGGAGGGTAACGAAAAACAGACGCTTGCAGGGCCCTAACAATGTGTGTAGCAACTAAACCTGCAGCCTACTTACACAAAACAGGTCATAATGAAATCCAGTTTCAAAATGGAATATTTTTCCTAAATGATAAGGTATTGCATATGGTTCTTTTCCCATTGTGTAGTAATTCCTTCTAAAGCAAACGTTTTAAAGATTTTAACTGAGGTTGGAAAACTAAAACTTGCCTCAGTATAAAAATGTCGAAGCCATCTGCTAGAAAATCACAGCTCTGTGATATAAAACACCCAGAACTGTGTTGCTCAAAGTAATTTAATCACAAAATACCATTTCCTTGATCTGAAGGGAAACATTTCTACTTGGCCACTAGAGCTTTCTGGAGAAAGGCACTTATATTTGCAGTATGGTATATTAGTAGTTTTGAATTTCAAAGAGAAAACAGAGCAGGGATTTTGGAAAACAAATGTTGAAAGGGTAATTTCAATTCTTTGCAGATGATTTTGATAGAAAAGTTTCTGTTAAAACAACTGACAGACACTGAGAAACATGCCATCAGTTTGAAGGAAAGTAATTGAGTTGTGCTGTTTGCATTTTATTTTGCACACATTTAACTATTGAAAGTTTTTCTGTACTCTGAGAACAAAACCCCCCAAACACCAATGCAATGACAGAAAGCTGAGAGTCAAATCAGGCAGCACACATATGAACACTGCGTTCACATGATGAGGACCACATTTCTGAGACGTTTTCTGAAAAGAACCTGTATATGTGTGTGTGTGTATGTATATATTCTTCTTTTTTCCTGCCAGAATTTTTTGTTGAATGATCAAGTTAGTTCTGGAAAATAGGTTCCAATATTGCTCCATTCATTGGCATAGGTTGACTTCATCTTATTCCAATATTAATTGGCAGCTGTTTTCTCAGAGAGTTTTGCATAAAATGGTGCTCAGTGAACAAGTAGGGTTTTAAACATGACACAGTCCTGTATTTGAGAATGTTTATGTTGTATATGTGCCTGTTAATTTAGTAGTTATGAGTTTAATAATAACTTTGAGTTCTTTAGAAATGGATCCTTATATATATTAATAAAATCAGCTGTGTGCCTTAACCAACAGTGAGCATATTTTTAAAAATGGGCCTCTGAATTGAAAATTAAAAAAAAACCCTTTAGCATCCTATTAGGATTGATTAACCCACAGGAGGGTAATCCTGGTAAGCAAATGTAACCAAGGTTCTCCTTCCCCAGTGATTCCAAGTGCAGCCTGGCTCTCCTGGTCAGGTGCTTCCTTTACTCAAATTTTCCCCGATCTGTTCCTAGATCCTAATACCACCCTCTGTGTCAAACTGTGAATGTATCTTCAGTATCAGGGCTCAGGACTTGGAGCTGGGATTTTGCTGACATGGTCTTTTCTCTGGTTGTCACCTTCCATTTCTTTTTTGGTTTGCCTTTCATTTTAATGCCAAATTTTCTAAGTGTAAGAAAGGAGGGTGGAGAGTGGGCAGAAGTCATTGTTTCCATCATGAAAGTCAACATCAGTATTTCCTGTTCTGGGGACAAACCAGTGCCTCATGTTTCTGGAAACGCTGCAGCATTTGACTTCAATTTTAAGCTGGATAACCCCAAAGCTTTTCCTCAAATTCGCCACTGGAGTAAGCTCATAGATGCTCTGATTTTGTTTATCGTTGCTCCTCCTTAATATCTCTTGCACAGGTGCCGTTGACCTTTAGATGGGCTGTACAGTGTGGGGTTTGGTGCCTTGGATCTGCTTCTTCAGGGACCAGGATCTTGAGATCTTCAGGCTGGGTTTCCATGGAGGCATGGAGCTGCTTTTCCTCCTTCATAACTGTACTCAAAACAGCCCTGTTGCTCTAGAATGGAGACTTGGGCAACTCCTACTGGCACAGATTTGTTCACCTCAGAGGAAATTCAGATAGAAGCAAGCTGCAGTCAGTTTCACCTGTAAGTCCGTGGGTTCTCAACTGGTAATGTCCTCTTATGGATGTTAGCCCACGAGGTCAGTCCTGTAGCAATCTAAGGCTTGAGAAGAATTAATCTTCTGGAAAATTCCAAGAATACATCTTAGGGAAACTGGCTCTACTTTTATGACTTGGATAACACAAGGATATGCTTTTCATGTTGGACTAGAACTCAGAGTATTGGCCAATGGATGTGTTTTCTAAAACTATCCCAGTGAGTTCACCATACAGTTGAAGATTCTGAGATTCAAGACTCAAGACTGAAGAAGATCATTATTTTTATTATTTTAGTCTGATGCGCAAAATGGTATCTACTGAATAGGCAGGTTTTTAATAGGTAGCTTATATATATTAGCAAAAATAAACACTTTGTCTTTTAGATCTATTCCAGTTTTTCAGTAGCTGTAGACTTAAGTGCTAACTTTTAGCCCATAGGATAAGAAGAAACCAAGTCCTAAAAGTAGGCCAGCATCAGGATTCAGGCCTCTGACTTCAAGCCAAGGATTCATCATCTTCAATCATGCACGAATTTTTACATAGCGCCAGAAGAAACTGCCTGTACTTACTGTTGTAGGTAAGACAAACCTTTGTTTATTTTTACTTCTCATGAATAAATAGTTGTAAGAAGAACTGCTGAAACAAAGGGCATTAATGAGCTTTTGCTACATATAAATAGCGAGCGTGAACCAGCAGTGTGGCGGAAGAACAGTTTCCCTTCAGCCACAGCGGGACTATGCGATGTTCTCCAATGAGCTCATCTTGTCAATAATGTGTAGACCTTGATGTTCTTTTTAAATATGTGCTGATTTTATTACAAGTGAACCTGTGCTTGTTTTTTCCCTTATGCATATTCACTGTCTTTATACCTTTCCTTTCCCCCCCACAAACTTTCTGCTCATATCTTTTGCCCGTTTGGAGGGAATAGTCTATTTTTTCTTATAGGATTATGAAATTTTAAATGTAATGATAATGTTAAGATTTTTTGACATGTACTTTATATTTTACCAGTTCATTATGTATATTTAAATGTTTCACTAGTATTTAAAAACATACATCTTTTCTTAAATTTTCCATAGTTTTATCTCTTAGCCATTATGCTTTTGCTTTCTGTAGTATATTCCTGGGGAGTCTCTCACTGAGATCCTTCCGTTTCTCCCGTTTCTCTAAGTTGGTAACTTTATCTCCCATGATGAGAAAGCTTTTCAAAGGGAGAGCGTGACCATTTCCATATAAAGTACAATGTTGCTTTGGTGTTTAAGATTCTATTCCTGGGTGTCATTACTTCTTTTTAAATTTAACTTTGTTATGGAAAATATTAAGCATATGTAGAAGTATACTTAATATGAATGAAACCTCACTTGTTCATATCCTAGCTTCAATAATGATCAGCACTTAGCTATTCTTACTTCATCTACCCCTTTACTCTATGTTTTATTTTTCCTGGAGTATTTTGAAGCAAATTCTAGAAGTATATATATACACACACACACACACACACGCACACACCATATTGGTATTGGTGTATATATATAATATGTATGTTTTATATATATAATGTGTATAATACACACACACACACACACACACACACACATACACCCTGGAATACTACTCAGCCATAAAAAAGAATGAAATCATGTCTTTTGCAGTAACATGTGCAGAACTGGAGGCCATTATCTCAAGTGAAACAACCCAGAAACAGAAAGTCAAATACTGTGTGTTCTCATTTATAAGTGGGAGCTAAATAATGTGTTCACATGGACATAGAGTGTGGAATAACAGACATTGGAGACTCAGAAAGGGGGGAGGTTGGGAGGGCAAGGGGGGGATGAGAAATTACTTAACAGGTACAATGTATACTAATCAAGTGATGATTACACCAAAAGCCCAGGCCTCACGACTATGAAATCTATCCACGTAACAAAACTGTACTTGTACCCCCTAAATCTACAAAAATAAAAAAGGGAAAAAGGTATAGAATGGAATAGCATACTGCAGTCATCATAAATGAATCTCAGCTAAATATAAAAATCATTGTCCTTTTGCAGGTGCTTTGCTGGATTCAGGATGCAGACAAGGTCCACGCACTGTGGTTGGGTGAGGTGTCTCTTAGGTCTCTTTTAATCTGTAATACATCTCCCTGTTTTTTTAAATGCATTTATTTGTTGAAAAAACTTGGTCATGGGTCATTTTTCTGTAGAGTGGATTATGTTCTGGATTTAGCTAAATGCCCTCTTCTTGAAGATTTATCTTCCACGTCTCTTACAGGTGGTTAATATTCAATGCTTCATTAAACTCACGTATTTTTTTATTTTTTATTTTTTTGCAGAGCCACTTTGTATGAATGCTGTGCACTTCCTGCTGTACCTTCATCACATCAGGGAGCAACAATGTCTGGCCTTCTCGCTTTTAATGTTGTTAAGATTGGTGAGTGCAGGTGTCAAGGACCAATGAGTCACCAATACTCTACATCTCTATTGACAATTTTCTCCAGAATTCAGAGTCTGTGGTGAGCATAATGGTTGGGAGTGCTGGGTTGGAGTCAGACACTCTTCAGTTTGAGTAACAGTTCTGAAAGTCATTTGTCATGCCTGAGCTAGGTCGCTCAAGCCCTCGGACCTTTCAGGGCTGACTCAGCTTTAGGAGTGGACGCTTCATTTTGTGTGTGGGACTGTTGTTTGAGTGGGATGAGTTGTGTGAGCTGGGCTTTGGCCCAGTCTTGGAAGAGTGGTAGCTGTGATTTAGTGGCATTTGTTTCAAGCAGATGGAATTTGTTTAGATGACCCTAAAGGTCTTTCCAAATCTGATGTACTAGGATGAATTATCAGACAGCTCCTATAACTGGGTTACCACATATTACGGGTAAATCTGGGGGTAGAAGAGCTCATCATTCAGTTGTAATAGTTCAATAGAGATGACAATTCTGCCAGATTTGGGTCCTGTGGGCAGAGCTGAGAGGTCTGTAAATTCACATTCACTCTTCAAGCCCTGGTTTATAGCAGCCGGCCAAGTGTGTCACTAAGATGAAGATAGATTATAATGACTACATTTTGGTAATTCATTTACTTTACTGAAATCAGTGCTCAGTCATGTTACAGGCGAGACTCCATCTGGTTCCCATCAATGACAGAGGGAGCACCATGTTTGGACAGAGGGGCTGCATCTGTGTCGATGCAGGAAAAGCTGCGTGGCTTATGCAGCAAATCACGGTGTAGACCGCCAGCTGGGCCAGTCCGGGTCCAAGTCAGCTGGGTGACTCTATCCTACCGTTCATTCACTTCTGCATTCAACAAGTACTATGGACACCTGCTGTGTGCCAGGCACTGCTTGAGGTGCTAGGGGGAGATCAGGGAGCAACAAAAAATTCCCTGCCCTCCTGCAGCTGATGCATATTCCAACTGAGGGGTGAGAGTGTAGCCAACAAACAATGGACATAATCCCCAAATCATAGAGCAAGACATAGGTGATACAAATCATGGCAAAGAAAGCATTGTGCAGACTGAGGGGTTTCTTGTTTCCTGAGAAGGATGTGGATTGCAATTTAAGGTGGGATGGGGATTGGTCTGAGATATGAGCCTGGCTGACAAGATCAGGCAGGAAATGTCTCCTTCATACCCTGCCTACCCAGTAGACCACCTGCTTGGCACTGATCTGGGCCTTCGTGTAACCGCTGAGCACAGGAGGGCCATTGCTGCTTGGCGTTGCCACTATGGATGCCTGGATCATGGTGCTGCCGGTCCCTCTGCTGCCTCCTCTCTGTGTCTCCTCATTGGTCCTGAGCTCCATTCCTTCCTGGGTCGTCTTCAGGCCATGATTTGCATGTTGGCTCTCTTTGGGGCCCACGGTGCTTCATTTATTCCCAAAGGTACCTTCTCCTTCCTCTTCTGATTGAGACTAAAAGGCCTCCTGATACCATTGCTTTGCCAGGACAATATTACTTCCCAGGGAAGACTCTACTGGCACATTTTAGGCATTTCTGGAAGAACACCATATCATCATCATCACCATCATCATCAGATCTTCCCCAAGCCCCATCTGGGAGGGTCTCATGGAAGCTACATACGAACTTGGTTAGGGACCTCTCCTGAGCCTGGACTGATGGCTGGCCCAGCCCAGGCTTTTGTTTGTCACAGGAAGAGAGCTTTGTGCAAACCCTTGTTTAACCTGGCCTTCCCTCTTTAGAAAGAGAATGTTCACCAGATGAATCATGCCTAACGTGCTCGCTGGAGCCAGAGGACTTTGGCTCCCAGGCTGTTTACTGCAGCTCAGACTTTGTCCCGTAAGCGTTCTTAGGAAATGACAATGGACAGAAAATTGTCATTGTTTTTGTTGGAAAAAAAAAAAAAAGTTGAATAGTTTCCCTGGCTCAGGCTAGCTGGTGGCAACCCTGGCCCCAGCATGTTCCTCAGTCGCCCACTCTCCCCAGCAGGGCCAGTGTGCCCTTGCCTGTCCACACTGCTCTGTGACCAGGTGCTCTGCTGTGCCCTTGCTCGGGGACTGACTGTGCACAAGGTGATGCGTGGCATGTGTCGATGTCCAACAGGCTCACATGGGCTGTGCTGTGGCTGTGCTGGGGGCCCTCACCTGGTCTCTCCGCTGACTTCCTCCCACCACTGCCTGCCTTGGGTGGGAGGACACCCGGCCTTCCTAGTCCTAGGCAGTGTGGACTTAGAGAGGCAGAGCGTGCTGCAGGCAAGGTCTGTGTTTGGGTTTTGGCAGCCTGGATGAAATCTCGGCTCTGCCACCTCTCAGCTATATGTGAGTGGCCAGGTCCCTTGACCCATCCTGAGTTACAGTGCCCACTTTGCTCTGTTTCTGGACCTCAAATATGGCACTTTTGGTCTTTCTTTCCTTTGTGACATTAGAGGAAATCTCTAAGACATCATGGAGTTGCCATTGAGCTTGCCTTCCCGCCTGCACAAGCAGGTCCTGAGGCAGCTTCCTGCAGCCCCACAGATCCTGCAGCATCTTCAGGGCTCAGAAACCTCTGTGTCTGACTCTGGCTCAAATGTAATTGCAGCTCTAGAGGAAGCGACTCACACCACAGGGAAGCGAGGAGGCTGGGGGTCGCGTCCAGGCATGCCCACAGCAGGGGCTGGGAGAGCCACCATGGCAGCAGCCACAGAGCCAGGGAAAAATGCCATTCTATGATACGCAGTCCTGTCTTTAACCCAAATGATGTGTCTGCAGAAACTGGCTGCATTTGCTACTTGGACAGATGGACAATGTTTCAGTGTCTTAATTAGCATGTCGGGTAATCACTGCCATTAATCTTGTTCTTTTTTCCACATTCATTGGCCATTTTGACTTCTCCATACCCATCTTTCTTATTGAAAAACATGATAGGAAACTTTTGCTTATTAGATAAATTATGAAGACCTAATGCATGGCATGGTGACTATAGTTAATAATGCTGCACTATATCCTTGAAATTTGCTAATAGAGTAGATTTCAAGTATTCTTACAAAAAATGTGGTGATGGATATGGTGATTAGCTTGTTCTTGATAATCTCACAATGCCTGTTTATATCAAAACATGACCTCGTACACCTTAAATACTCAATTTTTATTTTTTAGTTATACTTCAATAAAGCTCAGAAAATACACACACACACATATTCACACACACAAATAGTAGTGGCCAAAGCAGACAACTGAAGAATTCCCTTGGCGGCCTGTGCTGAGCCCTGGGGCTGTTCGTGTTCCCAGCCCTCTCTCCATCCTCAGGTGGTGTGGTCCTGAGCTGCTGCCCCTCTGCCCTCCTCCTCTGTCTCCATCCCTTTCCATTTGGCTCCTCCTCCTACACACGAGTGGAAACTGTGCCCTGCAAACCCAGGGGACTGCAGAAGCCTTGCCCGGCATCTCCCCACAAAGCCACGGTGGAAGCAGTCTCTTTGCCCTTCTCCACAGGGCTCCATTCCTCATCCATCCTTTTCTCCGCGTCTCCTGCTCACACCTGCTGTCCACTGTCCTTTCCTCTGGGACTCTGTGTTCCCACAGCCCCTCTGTGCATTCCACACGTGTCCCTGAGTGAACTCTGCAGTCCCTGCCGGCCCCACACTCACTTGCCCTGTGTCCTGAGCACAGGTCTTCAGGTAACAGTGACTGGTAGGTGTCTCCACATTGTGACATTCTACTGGAACCTGAAACAGCTGCCCCTGACAACGGCTCAGCAGAGAATCCCTGGCCATCCAGCTCTGACAGGGGCATGGATTCTGCTCTCCTTCCTGCCAGTCTCTTAGTTGTCTGTGCCTTCACCCTGTAGTGGCCCATTCAACACGAAGTCCAGCTGCTCTCCTTTCCGTATCTGTGGAGTCACCCCCTAATTCAGTTCCCGTGAGCTTAGTGGCTGTGATTTGATCATTCCCAGCCATTCTTGGACTGCTCCAACCTTGTCCTACACCGCCTTATTTCTTACAAGATGGCAGTATTAACGTGGAGAATGAAATTCCTAGCTTTTTCTCCTTTCAAGCCACCATGATCTTCCCAAGCACAGCTCCAATCCTACTTCTCACATATTCAAAAGCGTTAACACTTCCTCACTCACCCCAATTGTTTTCACATGCAACCCAATGTCCCTACAGTCTGTCGCCTACTGACTTTTCAGCATTTTCAGGATGATGTCTCCATACAACCCTTGGAGTTCTCTTGTTGTCTCTCTTTTCCAGGGTCTCAGCAGCTTTTGTCATTGCTAACAATTCCCTCCTTCTGACACACCGTCTTGGCCTCCAGACCCCATTCTCTCCTGTTCTGTGCACTGCACACGGCTACTGTCCATGGGGTGCAACTGTGACTCAGTTCTGGCTGTCACTCTTTCTCTCATGCGGAGCTCTCCTCTGGCCGCCTCATTCAGGAGCTTGGCTTCGTGAACTCCCGTGTGCAGCTGACATAGACACTGAAATCTCCTTCTAGAGCTTTCTCCTCAGCTCCAGAAACACACAGCCAACTGCCTTCCTGAAGCTCCCATGTAGATGGCACCTGGATCTTGACATAATAAAAACAGAACCTGAATCTGGAGCTCCAAGTCACACCTTGTTCCTGTGGTCCTCCTGTTAGGATATTGCAGTGGAGACAGCAAACCCTCATCTACCCCAAATGCAGTCTGTCCCCGCTGATTCTGTCTGTCAGGTGGTCTCAGACACATCCGCCTTTATCCACAGCCAGTGTCTCAGTTGGAGCTGCAGCAGCCCTCTTGAGACTGCCTGGTGGAAATGGCCAGGATGCCTCTCTGTGCTGGTCCTGCAACTTGCAGGCCTCTCCCTGCACTGCTTCTGGCCAGCGTGGCCTTTTTCAAAGCTTCACTATGCCGCTGTCCTGCCTAAAATCCTTCAATGGCTCTACACGCTTCACGTGCCTTTTTTTTTTTTTCCCAGATCAATGACTAGATCTTTACCTGGTCCACAGTCCTCCCCATTCTGGCTGCAACCTCTCATGAGGTTGAGCTCACCATGAACCCCTGCTCTAGGCATCTGCATGGTGCTCTGTTTGCCCCCAATACTGTCTGCCCCC